CTTAGGGGCTAAGAAAATAGTACAACTAAATAAATATGAATTACTATTAATATTCTAATACCATCCCTTAATTCATATTTCATCAAAACTTATAACACCAATTCCATCCCTTAGTCTAAGAAATTGATCAGTCTTGATAGCTTTCGTCAGAACATCTGCCAACTGCTTCTGAGTGTTGCAGTGTACAACTTATAACACTCCACTCTGAACTTAATGTCTCAGAAAATGATACTTGGTCTCAATATGCTTGCTTCTCCCATGCAACACTGGGTTTCTGGCAAGATTGATTGCAGACTTGTTGTCAATCATCAACTTCAGAGGTTTGTCTACTTTAATCTTCAGATCCTGCAACAGATTCAGAATCCACACAGCTTGGCATGCAGTAACAGCACCTGCAATGTATTCAGCTTCACAGGTTGACAACGCCACAACAGGTTGCTTCTTGGAACACCAAGAAATGGAACCTCCCAGAAATTTGAACAAGTACCCAGATGTACTTCTTCTGTTAACTCTGTCTCCACACCAATCAGAGTCTGAATAACTTAGAAGTTCTGACTCATTATTTCCTCCAGAGGGAAATAACACTCCATACTTCAGGGTTCCTTTGATATACCTCAGAATCCTGACAGCAGCTTGGTACTGGGACCACTTAGGTTTACTCATGAACCTACTAACCATCCCAACTGAGTAGCAAATATCAGGTCTGGTATTGCACAGATACCTTAGAGAACCAACCAACTGTTTGAAGGTTGTAGCATCCACATCCTTTCCTTCAGAGTCTGAATCCAGTTTCTGATTTGTATCAGAAGGTGTGACAGCCATCTTACAATTCTTCAGATCAAATCTCTTCAGAAGTTCTAATTCATACTTGAGCTGATGCAAAATGATACCTTTCTCAAAATATCTGAACTCCATCCCTAGAAAGTATGTCATTTTTCCTAGATCAGTCATTTCAAATTCATTCATTAGAACCTTCTTGAACTTGGCTACCTCTTGTTCAGAACTTCCAGTCAGCAGTATATCATCAACATATAAACATACCAGAGTCATATTGCCTTCAGAAGTATGCTGAACATAGACACTGTACTCCATCTCACATTTCTGAAAGCCTTGCTTCTTGAAAAATGAATCAATCTTCTGATTCCAAGCTCTGGGCGCTTGTTTCAATCCATATAGAGCTTTGTATAATCTGTACACCATCCCTTCCTGATTCTTTTTCACAAATCCAGGAAGTTGTGACACGTAAACTTCTTCTTCTAATGGACCGTTCAGAAATGCATATTTTACATCTAAATGCATCAGAGGCCAATTCCTGTTAGCAGCTATTGCAATCACCATTCTGATTGTTTCATGTCTTGCTACAGGTGCAAACACTTCAGAGTAATCCAGCCCAGGTTTTTGTAGAAATCCTCTGGCTACCAACCTTGCTTTATGTTTGCCAATTGAGCCATCTGGCTTTAACTTCTGCTTGAAAACCCATCTGACGCTGATGGCTTTCTTGTCTTTTGGAAGTTTTGTCAGCTTCCAAGTCTTGTTTCTCTCTATAGCATAAAGTTCTTCTTTCATGGCCTTCATCCAGAGCTTCTGCTTAAGAGCCTCCTCTGTACTTATAGGTTCAGAGTCTACTAACATGGCACACTGAATAACTTCTCCTTCAGAGTCTACTTCAGTGTCTTGCAGCATGTCAAATTCTGCAAATCTTCTAGGAACGCTTCTGATTCTTTGTGGTCTCTGAACTTGTTCAGAGTCTTGAGCTTCAGAGTTTCCAGCTTCAGATGGTTGACTTCCTCTAGAGCTTTGACCATCTTCAAGATCTGGCATATTTTCAGAGTTTTGGCCATCTTTAGAGTCTGAATTTTCACCAGAATCTGGATATCTGAATTTCCACCAGAATCTGGATTACCATTAGAGTCTGGATCATCAGAGTCACCTTCATCTTCTGAGTCTTCTCCAGAGTCAGAATCATTATCAGAGTCAGAATCAACGTCAGAGTTTACTTCAACTTCAGAAATTCTTAACTCTGACCTTTCTTCAGAAGTTCTAACATCAGAATCGGATTGAGACTTATCCCAATTCCAAACTTCTGATTCCTTCACAATCACATCTCTGCTGAATTCAATTTTATTGGTTTCTGGACAATAGAGCTTGTATGCACCTGTACTGTGGTACCCTATCAGAATCATCATTTTGCTTCTATCATCCAGCTTCTGTCTTCTGGCTTCTGGAACATGTTTATAGCAAACAGAACCAAACACCTTCAGATGACTAACACTTTGCTTGTCTCCAGTCCACTTCTGCATAGGAACTATTTCCTTCAACTTCTTCGTAGGACATCTGTTGAGTACATACGTTGCAGTGGCAACAGCTTCTCCCCAGAGCTTTTGAGGAAGCTTCTTCTCCTTTAGCATGCTTCTCACCATATCAAGCAAAGTGCGGTTTCTTCTTTCAGCAAGACCATTGTGTTGAGGGGTATAAGGAGCAGTAACCTCATGCTCAATTCCATTCTCCTCACAGAACTTCTGGAACTCTTTGGAGTTATACTCACCTCCACCGTCAGTTCTAAGAATCTTCAACTTCTGACCACTCTGATTCTCAGCCTTCATTCTAAATTTCTTGAATTCATCAAACACCTCGTGTTTGAACTTAATAAGGGATACCCATGTCATTCTTGTGAATTCATCAACAAATAACACAAAGTATTTATTTCCTCCAATTGATGCTACTGGAAATGGACCACACACATCAGAATGTACAACTCCCAATGCATGTTTTGCTCTTGGAGCAACTTCTGACGCAAATGGAAAATGTGGTTGTTTTCCTTCCATGCAAACTTTGCATGACTTTTCAGGCTTCTTAATTGCAGGAATTCCATGTACCAGCTTCTTTGAATTCAGATGTTTTAAGCTTCTGAAATTCAAATGACTAAATCTTATGTGCCACAGCTCACTCTCCTTCTCAGCACATGTTGCACTAAGACATTCTGAGTCTGCAGTTCTGACATTCACCTTGAATGTTCTATTCCTTCCCTGTTCTGACTCCATAATCAACTTCTGATTGTAGTCATACAGCTTCAGAAGATTGTCCTTCATGGTAACTGAAAAACCTTTCTCAATTAATTGTCCCACACTCATCAGATTGCTTCTGATGCCAGGTACATACCACACGTTCTGAATCAATGCTGTTTTTCCATTGTTCAGAGTCACTCTGACATTTCCCATACCTTCTGCATTAAGATATTTGTCATCAGCACATCTGATCTTTGTCCTCTTTTCAGAGTCAAAGTCAACCAGCCATTTTTTGTTTCCAGTAAGATGATTTGAACAGCCAGTGTCCATATACCACCAGTCTGTCAGATCCATATCATCAGATTCAGAGGCCATCAATAGCACAGATTCGTCATCAGAACTTCTGGCTATATTTGCTTCTTCTGATTTCTTCTCCTTGCTTAACCAACAATCTCTAGCAAAGTGACCAAACTTCTTACAACAGTAACATTGGATCTTCTTCTTGTCATACTTCTCTTTTCCCTTCTGAGCATTCTTTTGCCTATCAGAGATTGAGCTTTCTGACTTCTGACCACCATCAGATCTTCTCTTGGCTTCTGACTGCTTTTGATACCTCCTATCAGAAGTTGCTTTCAGAGCCTGTTGCTCTACTTCCCTTTCAGAAGTTCTCTCAGTCAAACGCAACTCTTGCGCTTCTAAACTGCTCTGCAGCTCTTCAATTCTCATGGTACTCAGATCTTTGGAATGTTCTATTGCTACCACAATGTAATCAAATTGAGAGGTAAGGGATCTCAATACCTTCTCCATGATTGTTTCTTCAGAAAGAGTTTCTCCACACGCCTTCATCTCATTAGTGATCAGAATCACTCTGGAGATGTATTCAGAAACTTTCTCATTATTCTTCATGTTGAGATTCTCATATTGCTTTCTCAAGGACTGAAGCTTCACCTTCTTCACTGATGCGTCACCACCATAACATCTAACCAGTGTGTCCCACGCAGCCTTTGCTGTCGTTGAATCTGCAATCTTCTCAAACACATTTACATCAACACATTGATGAATAAAGAATAATGCTTTCTGATCCTTCTTCCTTACTTCCTTCTGCGTGTTTTTCTGTTCATCCGTTGCATCTGCTGCTACCGAAACATAACCATCAGTGACAAGATCTAAAACATCTTGAGCACCAAACAGTACACGCATTTGGATCATCCAACGATTCCAGTTTTTACCGTCAAATACTGGAAGCTTGGTGTTCATGTTGCCGTTTTCGTTCATCTTCACCTTGCACAATACACTCAGATTTCTCACACAGTGTTTCCCAACCCACAGAATAAAATTCTGATCAGATTTTGTTCAAGATTCAACACGAATCTAAGAATCAAAATCAAACACACAAGACCTCACGTTCACTCGTGTTTCCCGTGTTTCCCAATGAATCCGAATCGGAGCTCTAGATACCAATTGTTGGTGGAAAGGTGAATAAATGATGAACAAATGAAATATTCTATTAAGAATGACGGCTACAAAACATGATAAAAGTTACAATGATTGTCACCCTATTTATAAGCTAAAATTAGGGTTACTAGAATAAGATAAAATACTAAAATACCCTCTAACAAACTTAGGGGCTAAGAAAATAGTACAACTAAATAAATATGAATTACTATTAATATTCTAATACTATGGTGGGGTCAAAATGATTTAACAAATGAGAAGTTAAAGATAGATATGTTATGAATGAAGAAGTCAAGTTTAAGATATCCTCTCAAAAGAAGAAAAAAAAAGTTTGAGAAGATGCCAATTCAAATCTTGCACTTCTCCTCTTTAGAAAAAGGATAATTGAAAATTTTATTATAATAGCTTCAAGTTATAGGCACATATATGCCTAGATATACATACTTCAAGTGCAACAACATGGATGAATCCTTATTGTTTTTTTAATTGTTCATTGTAGCAGGTTATATAAATCTTGATTGAAGAACAGGTACAACGCAATCAACGGACAGCTAAAGGATCCTTCAATGAAACTCCATTAGATTCGGAAGGATTACGGATCTTTACGTCGGTTGCGACAAACTGTTGCTTCTCAGCGACAGCATCTTCAACTTGTGATTCCTCTGGAGGAATCGATCTTCCACCCCAACGTACAAGATCTTTAATGATGGTTTGGAGCTCATTATCTTTGTTTAATGACTCCAGAGTCACATGTGTACCTGAAATCAGCTCAAAACAGTTCTATCATAATTCTCCATGAAAGTTTTCAATGGTCACAGATTAAATTGTCTTCAAAAGAGTTAGCTTTAAAATCATTGGAAAAGACTCAGATATTCGACTCCTAACAAAGACAAAGTACAATACTTACGGAATCTCCAATAGTGCTTTGGATTTGTAGGGTCGTTGATTGTCTCTTCTGTTGCAGGGCGTGCTGTATATTCCTCTTTCAATGCTAACAAGTCCTGCTCACCAGATTAAGAGTGACATGATTTTCATGTGAAGGAAAATAACTAAAGTGGACGAAACCCCGAGAGTTATAGACAAATTAGTTAGATATGTGGTAGGAAATTTAACAGAACTTAGAAATCACAGTTTTCTAACATGTCAGGTCAAAATACCTGAAGAGGGAAAATTGCCCACATCGATGGGGATTCAATATGTTGCCTTATAATATAATGTGCAACTTCTGGAACGCATTGATCAGGTGGCAACTCATCAGACTCCATCACATTCTTGAAAAAACGTTGTCTTCTTTCTTCGTCTTCTTCCCACCAAGCACGCAAGGTGGAACAGTCATGACATGATGGGGCACATACCTGCAAGTTGGTTGTTTAATCAAATGACATTTTTTTAACAAACTCCATTTAAACTCAGAAACTGACATTAGTTCTCAACAAAGCTGTACCAGATTCATCAGATTACAATAAAGAAACCCTAAGACTATGTTTGGGAGTTCGGATGAGAGGAAAAGGGAGGGTTTCGAAAAAAAAAAATTTAAATCTAGAGAAATATTAAACATTTTTTTGAAAAAAAAAAATTGTATAGAATGATAAAAGAGTGCCTATCATTAACATATTTTTTATTTTTTTAATACTATAATAACATTAATTATATTTGAAATTTTTGTCTAAGCCCTCCAAACCCCTCCTTCAATACAATTTTTTAGTTCTCCAAATTAGGGGGATTTTAGTTTTTGAATAAAAATAAATCCTCCAAAACTCTCTCCACAAAAATCCTTCTATTCTTTTCACTCGATCCTTCCTTTTTTTTCAAAACCCTCTCCTCCCTTCCCCTCCAAACTCTCAAACAAAGCCTTGCTTGCCTTCTGAATCATACAACTACAAACACCACACAAAACCAGTAACTTTTCATTATTTGAAGCACAAAACTAAAAAAAAACATTTGAATGTGGCATAGATATATAGCCCAATTTGAGTTATGGTTTCTGACAACTTAATACAAAGAAGATTTACTCATAGTACTTTACCCCTTGGATGTTCTTTTTTAATATGGAAACATGAAGCCTCAATAAAGTGTAAAAAATATAAAATTCTTCCTTTAGTTCGACCATAAGCAGTCCAAACTAAAATAAGGATAAGCATGGTACATAGAAACTTTACCGTCATGTAGCTGTATTTAGAAGGAATGCCAAATTCCAGATCAGATTCATTGGGCATCCGTTGGATGCGCAGCCCAACTAATCCGAGTTCTTGCATAACCTGCACTAACAAAATTATAGTTAAACTTTTCAATGTAAAACCCCCTCCAAAATGAAACAATTCAAAATCCTTTTGGTGTCTTAAGTATAACTCTGAACATGTGTGTGTGTGTGTGTGTGTGTTTTGGGAGCCGTGATACGAGTGAGAAAGAGATTTTTATTTCTAAGAACTTAGTAGTATAAATGACATACAGGATGCACACAAGATGGAATGAGGCCCAAATCTTCCCCGCAGGCCAACATCTCTGATGAATTTAGAAGTGCAGGTAGAGTCTTAAGCGCATTTTGCCTCCAAAGATTCTCTTGACGTTGGAAATAGTAGTCGTAATACAACCTTTTGAGAACATTCTTGCTATATTGCATGATAATCATTAAGATCTTGTAAGATTACATCTCAAGGAAATCAGAAACCAGAATATGAAATGAAAATAATTTTTGTATTAGATGAAGAACAGTTTTCAGTGCCAAACAATGATGAAAAAGCAGCATAATAGTTGGAATCATCCTGAATTGTTTATCCACGCGCACTAATATTATGAAGGTACCTATGATCATTCAATGCCTGGAAACTGGAGGTCTCTTCGAGGTTGAAACGAGGATAAAAATCTTTTGGATTCTCTGGATCTCGGATAAGAACTATATTCTGCAAGACACAATAGAAAATAATAGTGTATGATTTGCAAGATCAAGAAGACACATATCAAAGTTCAGAAGACAGAAAAAGATTAAACATAGATTAAAAGAAAAGGCATATAGAAAATGAAGTGTGCCAATTTGATCTATATTTTACTAGCAAATAAGAAAGTACCACATCATCATACAAACTAGGTTTTCACTAGCGCTGGAATCACAAGAGTAGTTTAAAACAACAAATTTGTGGGTTACTGTAAGGATAAAGAATAATGGGTAATTATAGTAGTTGCTGTTGTTAATGAGAGAATTTGGTTAGTTAATGGGTAAGTTAGGATTGTCATGTATAAACAGGGAGGATTTGGAGTTCGAAAGGGTACCATTTAAATATTGTAAAGTTTGTGAATAGAGTAGCAACCCTTTTGTCAAGGGGAAACCCTTGGAGGAGAGATTCCTCTCCTACTCTTCACTATTTCTTAATAGAAGTGTTCTTTCTTTGGAATCCAATTATGGGTTCCTAACAATTATTGATAATGAGATACCCTTAATAATAGTGAATCAAAATATTGAGTTTTACCTTTAAGTGTAAATATCAATATATAGTGGGTGGAAGAGAAGAAGAATATGATCCGTGAAGAAAATTTAATAAAGCTACCTGCAACAGATTGAGCAGACTACGCCGGATTTTGTCTTCACTCTCCAACAACAGTGAACTTTCTGCAAAAGTTTTCAGTTTGGAAACAACTTTTTTCTCCGTGTTGCTATCCTCCTTGAACTATAATGATTCATGAAAAATAAAATTACAACAGCATATATATTTAATGGTTGCAACAGAATTTACAGTAAATTTATGAAAGAAATGCATGCTTAGAAATACCAACATAAATGAAATTTCTTTATATTTTCACATCTTACATTATAAAATCCTTGAACCTATCTCAAATTGGTGCCATTAACCACTGAGTTACATTGATTAGAAATCTTTAATAAATAAAGCAAAAGGATTGATACTGAGAATACACTCTCGCCTAATCATAAGTAACCAAGCAACTCATAGCTGTACATGCTTGATCATGAAAAATTTCAACAATCAATACATCAATAAAAAATCAAACATATCGTTCTTCATCTACTTAGTTGGGAGAGAAGTACAAAATATGCTATCAAATTCTGCTAGCACCCCAGCCAAGCCTTATCCATAAGACAATGTAGAGGCAATAAGCTATTAGAAAGATCAAGTATTTTTTGGATTTCTAAAATTGGATTTCAAGCAATTCATTAAGTATATATGGTTTACTCATAAGAAAAGATCAGTGACAACTGAATATTAAGAATCAGTATGTTCTCAAACGGCTAAGCATCAATAGGATATTTTATATGATTATATAATTAGAAGAGATGTAGAAATAATTATTAACATATATAGAAAATGAATGAGTTGAAATAATATATGGTATAACTAAGCACATCCAGAATGTGTTGAACAAAGCACGTTTTTCAGATCAAAAGGTAGCTGATCAGGTTATGCTAAAATTAAAGAAGTGCTTCTCATACACATCCTAATAAGTTGTATTGTACCCTTAGCAGATGGAAGATATGCTGTATGGGAATATATGGGAAACAATAAATAGTTAAAAGAAAATTGGCACACAAAAGTATGATCACCTCATAGCAGTTCTTGTCATATTCGTTCAGAAAAGTTGTTGCAACGAATGTCCAAGCAGATCCAAATTTTTCCTGAAACAAGAAGGAAAAAAATATGGTATAACTAAGCACATCTACACGACATATGAGAAAAAAACCAGATGCATCTTTAAGATAAATTATTAACAGATTATAAGAATTAATTCATTGCGCAAAAGATACACTTTTAACCTGTAATATTTCCTGTCTAATGTATGGGCGGCTCAGGCGATTAAAGTCCCAAATTCCTTCTCTTTCAAGTTCTTCCTATTATAGATTTAACAAATTATAAATTGACCAAAAAAAAATAGTTTCCTTTGCCAGTTAGAGCAGCTCAGCTTGTATTAACTGAATCAAGTGCCTTTTAGATTTATAAAAGAGCATATTGATACCTGACTTAGAGGAATAGATGGTCGGAATTTTCCGACTAGACCTGTCACAGAATGATCTGGAAGTTCCCAGATTCGGAAGAATCCCAATATGTGATCAATCCTGTAAGCTGTGAAATATTTTCCCATCTGTCATTGACAAAAGTAAAACTAATCTTCAGCCTTTGTGCTAAACTTTGCTTGGGTTATTTTCCGGTTAAAAACCGCAAAAACGAGAATTTGAAACCAAAACCTGTGTCAATCGAGCTCGCCACCAACCATAGTTGTCTTTTGACATCTCTTCCCAATTATAAGTAGGAAAGCCCCAATTCTGGCCATTTTTATCAAAATAGTCAGGAGGTGCCCCAGTAGAAGTGTTCATTCGAAACAAATTTGGATAAACCCAAGTATCCACACTGTTTCTGTCAACTCCGATGGGAAGATCTCCCTTTAGAATCACTCCCTTCTTTCTTGCATATTCTGAAGCTTCAGACAACTGTCGGAATAAGTTGAAAGCAAACAGTAAGATAGTATTACGTGATTTTACGGCCATGTAGAACATACAATAGGGTACAATATAACTAACTTGTAAATGTAGATGGTATTGGACATAGTAGTGGAAGCAAATTATCTCGTAATGCAGACTTTCCTTGGATACAAGTTTCTCTAACTGTAAGACAATGAGAAATATACAGTCTTAATTGTATCAAAATATATATATATATATATATATATATATATATATATATATATATATATATATATATATATATATATATATATATATATATATATATATATATATATATATATATATATATATATATATATATATATATATATATATATATATATATATATATATATATATATATATATATATATATATATATATATATATATATATATATATATAGTCTTAATTGGACATATTTAGAAACTGAAAAGAAAAAGAAAAAAGGAAACCTAAGGCACGGACCTTATCTTCTGAATAATTTGCAAAACGGCCCCATTGACTACGTTCCGATGTTTCAAAGAAATCCCGCAGGAAACAGAAAGCAGCATAGGGTTTCAACCAACTCTATTACCATCAAGAACAAAGCTGAGTCAGTGTAGCATTTTAAATAAAATGAAGAAAAAAAATTATGAAAATTCATTATAAAGGAGAGAAAAATATAAAGCATCTCTTGCCAACATATTAAGCAACCGTAATATGCAGTAGTAAGACCTCATTCTCAGAAAAGAACTCTTGAAAGGAACTCGAAGTAAGTATCAAATCTTTCTCTTGATTGAAAACTTTCTTCGCAATTGAGAGTTTAGTAGACAACGTAGCTTCATAATCAACATCCTGTAAATAAAATTAACCAACCATGATGAAATTGTCACTCACAAAAAGGTTTTCATATAAAAATGGTGATGGCAGTAACAATAACAATACGATAACAACATCAACCAAGTCTTTTCCCACTAAGTAGAGTCAGCCACATGGATCATTTGACGCCAAAGTTTAATCATGTACTTATCACTCTTAAATGATTTGGCCCATAGTTTTTCTTGATCTCCCTTTAATCTACTCTAATCTACGCTCTTTATTGCTTCTACAAATCTTTCTCATACAAGTTCGTATAACCTCAGGAGAGACTCTAGAATCTCTATTATAGGTACTCCCCAAATTTTTTCTCTAATAAATTTATTTCTAGTTCTATCTTTCATTTCTTATGTAACAACACATCGAAGGACCATTCTCGTGACACTAACCTTATTTTCTTGTAGGTTTTATACTTCCCAAAACTCATTTCCCTACACCATTATGGATCTTATAATAACTATGTGATAAAATTTTAGAAGTATTTTCTATAACATTTCACACCCAAATAATTCCACCTGTTGAGAGTCTTGCATTGGACGAGAAAAGGCCTGAAGAAGTGTTCATAACTAGGAGGCCTCACTCACCTTGCAATTTTAAGGAAATGAAAATTGAGTATAGTGACTATTAGACTGAATAGTTCACCATCAATCTTTCAAACTTAGTTGCACATCCTCTCCAATAAACAAATTATAATCAAAGTTATAATGGTGTTTGTTCAAAACACCAGCAATGTTGACACTGTCTAAAAAGACGAATTATTTAAACTTTGAAACAGAATTTTATTTAATGATGCATCTGTATAAGATACATATAAATACTTGATCATTACCTTCTTATCTAATTGTTGTTTTGCCTTCTCAATCTCTTGCTGTTTAAAGTAAATGCCAAGCATTTCAAATATCAGCATTTTGAAATAGCTACAAATGCTATTCAGTAGAGAGTAAAATTCGTAAACATAACCTTGATCTCCTCTGGTATGTTCTCAGAAAGTGCCTCTACTCTCAGGTACAATGGATGCAGCGCAAATACTGAGAGTGAACTGAAAGACAAACAAATGAGATAACAAAGTATCTCAAAATCAGTATATGAACTGTTTGAAACAACAATCAAACACACGAAACATTTTTTCCATCAGAAGTGTGATAATACTAACATCAGAGACATAGGTTGATATGCTGCGTGTTGTTAGTATCTAATCCAAATAAAATTTGACATGGTTTTAAACCAGAAAGAAAATATCAAACTTAGGAAATCAAAGACGTGACACCCTAAAGCTGCAAGGAGACTAATAGGGACTTAGGTATCACGGGTCGCCTGAGTTCTACATCAAGTGGTATAGCATGCTTGGCTCCACAAAGTACTTACGAGGCTCAGTTCTTCCCCTTTAAAAGGTATCTTTTAAAGGAAGGTTTCCCATACTGCTTTGGTGCTTGCTTATCAAATATCAAAAAACACTTTTTAGCAACTTTTTAGTTAACTATTTGCTTTCTTTCTATATTTTCTTGTTACTCACTGCATTACAGTGGGTTATCTCTGAACTAAGGAGATAGCATCGATCATTTCATTCTATAATATCCAGTTTTATTAGTTTCCAAAAACTTCAGTTTTTGCAGAGTTAACACCATTTTCGTATTTATGATGTATAAAAAGGTAATTACAAGTTTATCTGATGTCTATGATGATTTTGGAGGTGCTGCTATACCTGTATGGATAAGAATCCCACCACATCTGATGAACAGATGTATCATTGATCGGTAAAAGTTGTACTAAATGGAAACCAGATGCTACAGCCCAGTCAACTAGTAACTTAAGGTCAAGAAACTCCCCAACTCCTAGATCAGATTCCGACCTAATAGAGAACATAGGAATTGCTACGCCAGCACCACGCCAGGGTGTTTCCTTGTAAAGCAAACCACCAACATATTAGAACCATCAAGTTCTAGAAAACCACAATCTCCACTACCAGTAGTGTAAATTTAGCTACTTACTCGTATCATGCCATCTGAAAGAAAAATATATTTTGCTTCTCTTCTTGAGGAGTTAATTGAGACTTCTCGATTTGGACCGTTTTCTATAGAAGCACTCCCAGACCTGTCATATTTACAATATCTATATGTGGAAATAACTGTTAAGGAAGAACGTAAAGTTTGACCAGGGTATTGGTAGTGACGTATGAAAATAATAACCCCGCTCTTTCATTTATAACTCAAAATGAAAAGTTCAAAATGGATATCTTATTGGAAAATCACTTCTTTGCATCACACATTCAGCTAGCCATACGAACTCACCAACATAGCTGAGTTTTAGTCCATTTTCAACTTTCCATTGCCCCAACTTTGTATTGCTACCTATCACGTATATCTGCAAAAGTTTGGTAGAAACCACTAATTCATGGAAAGTGCTTTAAATCACAAACTTTTGAAGTATCGTTAAATGTAAGCATATATTTTTAATGAATTCTTAATCTAGAAAATAAACTGCATCAGTCATAAATGATATATAGATAAAAGGTTTTACTGATGTGTCTTTCTCAATAGTTGGGCAGAAAACTTTGAATTGGATGAGGATGGACTCCGCTGGTCATCAGAAGTCAAAACACATGAGCTATCAGCAAAATAATAAACGGGCAGTCTAAATTCATTATAAAAAGCCCCAAACAGTAGGCTAAACGAGTAATTTGCAAAATGTTACCTTCTGGTTCAAAAGTGATGTGGTTGACTCCTGTGGTTGTGATGATGCTCGAATCCCAACTTTGCCGAAAAATGACATCTCTGAAAGCACTTCTGAAAGGGAGAGCATCTGAGCCAGTCTGAACTTGAGATAAAACAAGAAAATATCTTGAGAATATATGTTAAAAGAAAGAAAAACTATCACTTGTATCCTAAGTAAAAGCCTGTCAAATCATATCAAGAAAGATAATTTATGTCCAACTTCAAAATGTTGTTTCAACACTGACAACATTGAGAAGCATCACATGAAGCATTTTGGCAAAACTCTAAGCACAAAGAACAAAAAAAAAACCTAGATGCAAGAAGCAACTCCATAGGCCATATCAGTGTCATATGCAAAAGTGTTACATCTCACAATGTTATAGAATATAAACAGTAAAACAACAACACCAACCAAGCTTTATCCTACTAAGTGGAGTCGGCTATATGGATTAAACGTGATAATGTTCTATCATATATCATATCTCTATCCAACTCATCAATCTCTAGATCTTTCTTAATAGTTGCTTTTATAGTTTTACAAGGTTTTTCCGCTGCCTCTAGTAATTTGACTACCCTCCATCTGATCTGCTTTCCATTAAGCGTCATATAATTTTAATTATTATATTGATGACTGAGAAATAACAATGTATTGAACCCAAGTGGGAAAATGTTAGGACATACCGACAGTTAGACAACAGTCATCGAATTTAAGTAGTTAGAACAAATATTTTGTATAAATAGGATGTACAAGTGCATTCTATGCATATGATAGGTTGTGAGTGAAAGGAGAGATCCTTTGTCAAGGGGAATCCCCTTGGAAGAATTATATTCCAATTTTTTGTTCATATTCAGTATATTGCTGCTACTCATTTGAGTCCTATGATATCTTCCATTCAATTCAATTTTTTTGGTTCCTAATAGATTATAAATACACTTGTAATCAGCACAATTTGTTCAATATGATTCAAGCACCATATCTTTTTTATGAATAAGGAATACACTGCAAAGATTTACAACTGTAAAATTTAACAAAATGGATCTAAGTTAATTATTAGGAATTGCAGCAAAACTAGAACATATTTCACACAAGCACCGAACTGCGAGATTACAAGAATTGCTTGAAAGAGACATAGAGAAATGTGGAAAGAGAGAAAGAAAGCAACCTGCCAAAGATCACGAAACTCAATCTCCTGACCACTCTGAACACTTTCGGGGAGCGTCACTTCGTGTTTCTTCCCCATCTCCCACCTCACAATATTTCTCTTATCATCCACAACATAGTAGGTATACTCACATTGAAACCCCTTTGGCACAGTAATGCTTCCACTCCAAATAAGCTCAGAACCTTCATGAAAGGGACTGAGCAACACGCCCTTCTTCACATTCCAAGATCCAAGCACTGGTTCAGAGCCACACACCACCAAACTCTCACCCCATTGAGTAAAATACGGTACACGAAAGCTTATCTTCACCGAATTCACCGACTTATTCCCCGAAACCAATCGCGGCGGATTCACCATAGCTTCAAAAATGAATAGTTTTAAGGTAAAACTCAAATTAAACTAGTAATTATTATTGAAAATTTTCCAATTCTGAGATTTTCAGTCACATCTAATCCAACTATCATACAAATTTCTTTTGCTTGTAAAGTAAACAAAAAAAAGGGTTGGACATTAAATCAAACAGCACATAGGCATTTTCAATAATTGAAGTAAACTTAATTTCAAAGAAAGAATGCAGAAAGAGAAAATGAGTGGATGAAATTCACCAGAGAGATAGAGATTGAGGTTGAATCACCTTTTTTTGTTTGAATTAAAATAGAAAGTTTAGAGAAGCAAAAAGAATGATAAAGAGAGTGAAGAAGACAAGAAATAGAAGAGAGACGTTTCTGGCTATGAGCAGAGAGGTGTGAGGTAATATTCAGATTTTTTTATTTTCTGACATTTTTTATTAATATGGTCCGTCCATGCACTCAAACTTTTTGAATGTGTTGCTTTCACATTTCTAAGGAAGAGTGGTGCCATGATTGCGATGATTGATTTTTGTTAAAAGAAACTTTATATTTTATTTTCCTTAAGATATATTTTGTTTTTGTTTTTGTTTTTTTGACAATTTAAGATTTGTTTGATTATTCAAATGTGAGCTAAATTTGCCGCTAATAATTTCATTAAATAAATGTGAGCGATTATAGTTTTAATTTTTGAACAAATGTGAGCGATTATAGTTAAATTTGTATATTCCACGTAATGCACTTTACATGACATGTTAAAAAAAATTGTCTATGTAATTCTTTAGGGGAATTTTTTTTTAAATAACTTTTTTTTAAATTAAATATTAAATTAATCAATGTTTCAAATTTATTATAAAAAAAATTATATTTTGAAAAAAAAGGAATGAGGAGTAGCCATTGTGATTAGGGTATGCATTATCAATAATATATAGATGTCGTTAGCACTGACATACATTCATGCATTAGATGCATGCTCTATTTGCAATGGCACATCCTTTATTTTATTTTATTTTTATTTTAATAATTTTAATTTAAAAAATAGAAATACAAAAGAAAACTAAAACTAATTTAAATTATTATTTCATAAAATTCAAGGTTCCAACAATTGAATTGAAAATCAATTACTCGCTCGATTGAAACGTCCTCCGATTCCACATCCCAGCGCATTAGTCTGTCTTTAAGGTCTCTCGCGTTTTCTCTGAGGTGTTTGGTGTCTTTGAGTATTGGCTTGAGAAAAAGTTGGTTGGTGCGAGGGTGTTCGTCATGAAAATTGGTGAACAACCGCTGGTCTTACAAATCGAAAAAGATATGTTTTACTTGCAGGATCGACCACACAAATCCTAAGACATGTGCTAATTGATCTTAAATAAAGTTTATAAACACGATGAACACTTCAACAGAGTTCATGATAAAATAACTTATTTCAAGTATAAACGGATTTGGGTGAAAAGAAGTAAAATCGAAGTGCTGGTAAATGATGAAGACAAGAACTTCCATAAGAAATAATACATTCTTAAGGAAAAAGATTTATTAAATTGCATTGAAATGAAGAGATGGTGTTACATCAACGTACATTCTTATAAACTTGTTTCTCTTAACACACGGGTGCTTGGAGTATACTGAAGAATTTGTACACAATTGAACACACACAAATCCTAACACTAAGACTTATTTCAAGTGTAAACGGATTTGGGTGAAAAGAAGTAAAATCAAAGTGTTGGTAAATGATGAAGACAAGAACTTGCATAAAGAAAGAATAAATTCTTAAGGAAAAACATTTATTAAATTGCATTGAAATGAAAAGATGGTGTTACATCAATGTACATTCTTACAAACTCGTTTCTCTCAACACACGGGTACTTGGAGTATACTGAAGAATTTGTACACAATTGAACACACACAAATCCTAACACTAAGACTTGCTATTATTACTAATAAAAAATAACTGTCATTAACGGCTAGCAAACGAAATCGAGACAAGTGTCACTCTGCATGCCTTCGAATCCTATAAGCGCTTCACGTGGATTCTTTGAGGAATGGATGAGACCGAACTTTCCCTTCTTTATTTGAATTCAAACCTCACTGTCGAAATGCCTTTAGTGGCACTTCTGTCGAATCGAATCTTCCAACTATTAAGAAATATCTCTAAATATATAACATAGATTCTCCTGGCGAAAGGACGCCTTCGACTCATATTCTTAAAATATGGCTTCAGTCGAAGTCATTAAATTTCTTCAAAAAATATATTTCCTACTTTTAATCTCATTCAGGCGCCGAAATTAAGAGCCAACAGAGGGTTCTGATGTATTTGACATATTTTCAATCATTTGTCACCCAATAATCGAGGGGTTGCTGCCAACGGTGCTGCCTTAATTCAGTTTGGTGCCCATGTTGTCGAAGTTGGGTCGTAGTGGTTAGGTTATGTGAGGATGATATGGTTTGCCCAATTGGTACATTGAATCATTTTGGAAACAAAGCAATGGTTCTTGTGTGGTAAGAAAGTCAAAGAGTGGTAAGGTGGTTTGGTGGTGGGATGTTTGGGTGTTCATTGGTGGAGGGCTATGGTGGGATGGGGTGGAACCGTATGAATTATCGGTGTTATAGACAGATATGGTGTCATTGTATGGTTGTTGGCGGTATGGGTTAGACTCTTGGTGTTATGTTTGGGTGTGTGGCATAAATTGGTTGCGGTGTTGGGTGTTTGGTGGTTGGGTGTATATGGTATGTTGGCGTTGTGAGGTTGGTAGTTGGGTTTATGTGGGTTGACATTGTTGTTGGGTTTGGTAATGGTGTGAGGTTGGTTGTTGGGCGTATGATGGTGAAGCTCGTTGGCATGGGTCAATCAAAAACCTCGGCTCAAACATAAATCAATTCATATAATGTTGAGTTGGTCTAACACTTTGTATGATAGGCTCATTTAAGACGCGGCGACGTTGATCCCTTCATTGATGACATATCTCTTTAGCGAAGTCTTTCCAATCGGAATAACCCCATAAAGCATCGAGTCTTTGTTGATGCCAGTCTGCCAAACATGTCGGATGGTCTCGAATTTGTTGTTCCATACCGAACTACAGTTTCACACGGTCACTCTAGTGCATCTTCACGGCAGTGAACCTAATGATTGGTGTTTTTGTTGTCCAAATTGCAACATCCTCAGGTTAACCTCATGGTCGAGATCCAAATATGGCTTCCAGATAAAATGCATAAGAAAAAGGAATAATTAGAAGATTTGTAATTTGTTAATTTTAAGCCAAATTTATAGTAGTTTATTTGTAATACATCGTGTGGTCCAAGGTGGTCTAAAAGATTGTGATACACTACTATAGTGTATTTGGGACATCGGTTGTAATTCATCCCCAAAACTGACCATCTCAAACGAAAAGATTGAAAACATATTAGTTATAGGTAGTTGTAGTATAAAGCCTGACAAATTCGAAGATTTAAAATAAACTTACTTGTTTGCGTAAGAGAATGTGAATGACTTTGTGTTGACCGAGGCGAGTGATGACATTCTCGACCAACCTCATGCTTGTAGAAAAAGGGTTCAAGAATAAAATGTACAAGTATTATTTTTTGCATTTTTACACAACAAACTATATATATGGGACAAAACAGTCGAACCCTAACTATATGTGCCTACTTTATTTATGTTTCGTAACAACTGCAAATATATAATATTTACCGTATTACCAATACTTGAATAATATTGTTTAAGATATTTTAAATTAATATCTTGACCCCTAGATTGACCCAAAGTTTTTCCCATAGTTGTGTCTTCACACAGAGGGGCACCCAACAATTCTTTGCATATAGTGTTATCTTAGTTAACTTTACCGTTAACAACCTTACCATCGATAGGTAAACCCAACAACGTATACACATCCTCTAGTGTGACGGTACATTCACCGAATGGAAGATGAAATGTGTGGATCTTGGGGGTCTCCATCTTTCTAACAAAGCAAGAATAAATTTTAATCAACAGAGTATGAGACTATGTTGAGTACATTACCAAAACTGCCTGCTCGTAGGTATGGTTCTATCAATGGGTCGTGTGGTACATATTCATGCATACGACATCGAAATCTATTTGGATCCTAACAAAAGATAATTAAGAAAATAAGTAAGAAAAATTAATAAATTATACTCTTAAGAAAATTAAATAAGCTATAAAGAAACTTACAAACTCCGCAATATTATCGATGGTTCCTCGGTATTCATGCATCAATTAAGAGTGCATATAAAAAACTTGATAACAAGTGGCATGATCCTCCTTCAACGCATGTCTACTGCATTAGACACATTGCTCAAAATTTCATGTGGGAGATCAAAGAGAAGACGTTACGGAAGAAGGTCTTGTACGCATGGTATGCATTAACAGAACCTTCCTTCAAACACTAACGCAAAGGAAACAAATTAACAAATGCAGATGCAATAAGATGGATCGACAATATTCCATTGGAGAAATGGACCAGAGTATACGACAATGGACAACGATGGGCCACATGACAATAAATCTCATGAAATCAATAAACTCTATCTTCAAAGGCATCTAAAACCTGCTGATAGTTGCTTTGGTGAGAGCAGCCTATTTTAGGCTCGAGCCACTTTTTGAGATCAGACGTTCAAAATGGAGTTATGTGTTACCATTTTGGCAGCTGTTCGGTGATAGTTCAATGAAATTCATTAAGGAGGAAGCTGACAATGCTAACACACGTGCGGTCACAATGTTTGACCATAATAAAGGTTGGTTCAGTGTTGCTAAGTATGGATCATAATGAAGGGAGGCCGAGGGGATACTGTCGAGTGGAACTAGATAGAAGTTGGTGCAACTGCGGAAAGTTTCAAGCCTCTCATATGCCTTGCTCCATGCCATAGCGGCATGTTCAAAGGCTCTCGAGGACCCTTCCAACTTACTATTTGTCATTTAATAAGTTATAAACCTATGTAATGTCTACAACACTAGCTTTCCGGTGTTAGCAAAAGAGGACTATCGGTCTGCATATCAAGGGG